TGTTTTCGAATATGCGAATAAATATTGCAAATATTTATGCCTCTGCCGTAAAAGTAAAAGCGAATTTCAAAGGTTCGCTGGCAAGCTCAAGACTTTAATAACAAAATAATCATCTACATTTGTTCTTGTTTGGATTCCAACATAAGTGGTTAAAATATAAAATATATTTCTTATTAATTTACACATTTTTTGGAGGCTACAAGTTTCGAAGTGTTTATTTGTAAGTGTTTCTGAGCATTCTTCAACTAAAATAAAATTTATTGCACCGACTGTTTCTATACTAGCTCTATAGCTCGTAGTGTTTTGGAAGGACACGTCTGCATCGCTTTCCCAAGGTACCGAATGGTAGACGGGTACCATGAAATCGTTTAGCTTTGTGCCAAATAAAACGGCGGCGTGGCAGACGCCACAAATTACTCAATCAGCTTGAAAAGCTTTGTCTGTCGAATACAAGTTCCTGTACGAGTACGAGTAGTTTCAAAAAATGTTAAATATATAATTTAACAAGTCAAATTTGAGCAAAAGAAACCAACCAATGCTTCGAGGATAATTCTAAAGTAACAGCATCCTGTTCAGGAATAGAATTTTCAGCTATTTGGATCAAATGAAGATGTTTAAGGTAGTATTCTCATGGATTCCATTATCCAAATTCCATATTCCAAATTGCAGCTTTCAAACGAAAAACCAATCATCAAAATCGGATGACTCAGTCGAAAATATAAAATATATTTAAAAATACAGACGAATTGAATTGACCTCCTCCTTTTTTGAAGTCGGAAAAAATAAACTTGAAACACATTTCTAGTCGTAATGCTTATCACGGGACAGAGTTCATGAGTGGTATACGCGACGAGCATGAGGTCTACCAAAATTCGTGATAATCAAAGATGCAGTCGCACTTCGCGTGCCTGAAATTATCACAAATTAATCAAAATCTTCGGTGAAATTTGCGAAAATTGGATAAAGTAACTCCAAATTAACAATTCATAGATTTTTAAGCCAATTTGTGATGGATCACCTGCTGAACGCTCTGACTTATGATTGTGATTAGTAACAATTTTATTTTGAGGCCTTGGCCTTCAACCCAATGCAACACGAATTGCAACAATAATGTCGTTCCCCCCGGGCGGACTTCAAGCAAACATTTTTGTAAATGCCATCTGACCTGCCTCCATACAAGTATAGTGATAATGTGTTGTCTGCCCTACTTGTTGTCTGAGTATTCATAATGAACTTGAACTGGGAAATATTGGGTTTAGGCAAAATATAGTACAAACCCGTATGTCTGGGGGCTGTGCCATAGCCTCGTTTTTCTTTGTCAATATTTGTGAGGACGAAGAGAGCGCGCAGCACGTGAATTTTATTTGATAGCAGCTCATGTAATGCTAGGCATCATATGACTAATGGGGGTTTGTTTCGCTCGAGTCGCATTTTACTTGTATGAGTGAGGGGGACTTACGAAACACTTGTGATAAGGTTTCGTGTGCAAATAATAATAAAAAGTAAAGAAAAACAGCGTTATCATTCGTTGTTTGCCGTAAGAATATATATCGCTAAGCCGCAGTGCCTAATGCGTACTGCTGTTCCCGTTTGGCGCCCAACGTGGGGCCGTTAATGAAAAATGAAGGCAAGCAGCACACCTATGATTTATCAGCTACAGCATTTTTATTATCGGTCACTAATTCACAATAAAACATGATTAGCTGCATAGGGTGTCATTAGAATAAAAGTACACTGTGCACATTTTCATATATTCCCAACTCTTATCTGAGCATTATTATCTCTAATATGAGGACTGTCTGCCAAACTCGTAATACGAGTAGATTACAGCAACTCACAGTAGTCAGTGTCCCACATGGGGTATCACGTAGCTGTCGTACATAAATCATTATTAAGTCAAGCATTTTGATTAGCAGCCAATAACAGGTGTATCTCCATCGGCTCCATGCCCATCGATATCTGCACATACTATACTCGTATGCAAAATGCGAAATGTCATTTCGCCCATAACTTATGGCGGCATCGGCTTTGTCATATCACCAGGCCCAGCAACGACTATTTGTTCGTGATTTGGTATAATTTTTATTGCCGCAACGATAAGAGAAGAACGACTACGCCCGTGCGCTAAAAATACGCTGGTGAATAACATAAATAAACATCGTGAATTGCTCGAATATTAAAGAGCATGGTATGCGAGTTTGGACTAAAGACAAATAAATTAAATAATAAATATATTAATAATATAATAAATTCAGGCAACTGGGTCTCAAGAACCAAATCCTTAGGTCAATTTTTCCACTACTTTTTCTTTGATTCGAGGCCATATCTTGCAATCAGTGTCATTGTTACTTACTTACCATAAGCAAGCATCTTCTGAATGAAATAATTTGTTGTTTTTTGAATATATTGCACCCCGATTGCATATTAAGAATTTTGTTGTCAATGGTCGTGCCTCAAAAATAATTAAAACGTGTCTTCCAATGGAAAAAGATTGTACGGACACAGTAGGACTTATATGGTATGTAGATCGAAACAGGTCTGGTGCAGACGGAATTGAAAGAAAACAAGAAATGGTCAATAATGGAAATAAATGATTCTATTTCGAAACAGTCAAAATTCAGAATTGGATTTGACAAGCAAATGGGTTTTCCCTAACAATTTCCTTTTCAATCTTTCGTTGAGAGTTATTAGCAAAAGCCACGCTGATCGGTGGGGTACTTTCGAAAGTATGGCTTCTCCCAACCAAAAAGTTTCCGAAACAATCATTCGCGTGTAGTTTTTCCTGACTACTACTTTTTTTCATCAAAAACTGTACCCAATTATATATGTTTTTTAAAGTTATAAGTTTCTTATCCGAAAATGTCATAAATGTCAGAAAGAGTATACGTATATTCATAATCTGCACGAAGAGACGAATCGATTTAGTTATGTTCGTCTGTCTGGATGAACGCCTGGATTTCGGAAACGGCCGATCCCACATTGACCAAACATGGCATGTATGCTCTTCTTACATCTAGACAGCACGAGTTTATTTTATTTTTTTGGTTCATCGAGACAGACGGATTAAGAATATATACAAGTATGTACACATTTCCTTCTCCCTTTTACATACGCTGCACAAACCCTTTGTGTTCCGACTCTGTACTACAGAGTATAAAAATGCTCGTACAAATTATAATATATATCGTTATGATACTTTAGGAGTAGGTCGAAAGCAGAAACCCTCGAAAGTTACGATACAGAAGCGTTGTTTTATGAATGGGAACCAGTCGTATCTGAAATCCAGGCAGAAAGATGGATGCGTCTGGTTACGCCTATAAGGAATACAAGTATACAAACTTTGTGGGGTCGGAGACTCCTAAATTTAAGCTGAAATTTGATTGAACCGATTACCGATTTCAGGTCGCATTGCGATTTAATATTTGTATGAGTTTATAGTAAATTGTTCAAAGAATAATGAAATGCAAGTAGTCTGAATATCAATAAGTTAATCTTTTGCACCTACCGTTATCAGTAAGCAAACAAATCGGTTGAATGGCAAAAAGGTGTACTAAGTATGTACAACTCGTACGTAGTATGTATTGGCTACTTACAGCACACACTCGTATGTGTGTACATATGGTATGTACTCGTGTATGTACACACACACAAGTGCATTTTTCAGTCGGCAATTTTCGTAATTAATGCTACTCCAGTGGTTGGTTGGCCGCTTCGAGTCACTGAACAGTCAAACAAATATTGATAACGGCTGACAGTATTCTGCGAAGTAGGTCTTAGTTCGGTCTAGAGGTGCCACTGAATGCTGAATGATAAAAAAATAGAAGAGGGCTTAAAGAAGAAACGAGTTAAAGTCGAATGCCCTGTACCCTTGTAACTACCCCTTATTATAAGCTATGCTTTGTTGTTCCGAGACATTTCTATGCCAGCTATATGATATAGATCACCGATTTTGATAATAATTCAGTTATGAAGAGGCACTATAATTTAAAGAACAAATTGTTAGTACTACCTATGTAGGTAGTATATCGTAATAAGCAAACAAATTGTTGGCAAAAAGCTAGATTAGATCATTCTTAAGGCAGATTTATGACATACAAGTAATTACCTGATTTTGTATAAGCATGAGGCAATATACACAACCAAGTATCTTCTTAAGATGGGGGATAAGAAAAAGTGCAGGACAGAACTGAAATAAAAAAACAATTTGGAATAAATAAATCAACCCCAAATTTGCTCAAGAGTTCTTTATAAACAAACTAGACTTAGGTACTAAGCTTGATTTTTCGGCCGATCCTTCCTATGACAGCCATATAAAATAATGGTGATATACAAGTATGTACATATATTGTTTAGGAAAAATTTGCATATGCACAGCAAATAGGGCTAGCCCCATAAGTTAAAAGAATTCGCATTGTGAAGTCGACCACACATTCTGTATTATGGCGCACTATATCTCCTTAAAATGGAACTGAGTTCGATTTGTTAAAGTTTCTATGTGTTATTATTAATTTTTTTATTTTTATTTAACCCCTCCTAGTCTGCATACCAAGTTCGGTGCTCCTATTTATTATGGTTCAAAATGTTTCGGTGCTCATACAGACAAACAGCCGATTCGATTCGTCTCGCCATGCTGAATATATACTATGATATAATAAAAAAGCGCTGAGTGTAAAAATATTTTGATTTAGAGATACCTTTATCCAAGTTTAAGCTCGTTGTGTACTTTATGTAAGTACCACCGACTATAAGAAGCTAGAGGCGCGCTGCTTTTATTTGATTATTGTTCCAGCTGTTAGAAGCTAGTAGTTAGCTACCAGTGACTGGTTATTTCGCTTGGTACCAGTAGCTAAAAATTCCTTTACTGTACCCATTTCATTTTCATGTGCGATTGTAAATTTCCCCAATTGCGGGTTGAATCTTCAACAATTCACGACTTGGAGGAATATTTAATCAAATTATCAGGAAAATGCTTAACTCTCATATTTTTTTATCCTTCCCAGATGAGTTTACGACGCATGAAGCCTACTTGCCGACAAACTATCGCGGCTATATAAATCGTGGCTATGACGACGTAGACAATTACTTTTTCTATGCGCCGTTCGAAGATATGGCGGCTAATAGCAATGGTGCGGCTTTACCGCCCTATACTGCCAATGAGAATACGGAGGATGAGGATGATGTGTTCGAGGATTGCACAGACGATGCCGTAACGGACACTGACAACAATGTCCTGCAAGGTCGCTGTCTGCCTGAGTTTCAGTTCTCGTTGGTGGACTCGGAATATGATGAGACGCTGGCGTTTCCCGATTCCGTGACCATACTTTCCAATGTTGGCGACAAGCCAGTGCTGGTCGAGCGCAAGGATACCGACGATGATGACGAGGACTACGACGACGAAAACAGTGTGGCGTTGCGACACAAGGAGATACCCTTCGGGAGTATCTATGGACCCAGTGTTAAGTTTAATTCTTTTCAACGCAAAGTCTTCATACCGGGCCGCGAGATCCATGTCCGGATCGAGCCGAATCTTGTGGAACGCAGCGTGACGACGCACTTGCTGAACCCGAATTTGTGAGCACGACATCGCCCGTCCGTTGCATCCATAGTTATCTAATTTTGCTCTAATTATTCAGGTACACCATTGAACTGACTCACGGTCCCTTTAAGTGGACCATCAAGCGTCGCTACAAGCACTTCAGCTCGCTGCACCAACAGCTCAGCTTCTTCCGCACGTCCCTGAACATTCCCTTCCCCATGCGCAGCCACAAGGAGAAACGTGCCACCCTGAAAGTGGCCGCCAGTCAGATGGCCGATGAGAGCACTTTGAAGGACTTGCCCGCGCACACCAAAGCAAAGCATACCAGCACCCCAACCAGCAACCAGCACAACAACAATAGCAATGCGCCAGCCTCAGCCATCAGTCCTAGTCATAGTTCCATAATGTCCGGGCTAGCCCCCCGGCGTAGTCAGCAGAGAAAGCGCAAGAAAAAGAAACGGAAATTGCCGAGATTTCCAAATCGACCGGAAAGCTTGGTTACCTTAGAGAACATGCCTGTGCGTATCAAGCAGCTGGAGGACTATCTGTACAATCTACTCAACATCAGTCTATACAGATATCATCACGAGACGGTGCGTACTCAAACAAATAAATAAAAAGAGAAAAAGAAATTCTTGAAATGCAGCTACAAAACTAGACTTGGTCAGAGATAAGACACACACAGCCTTTTCCATTCCCGAATCAGAAACTGAGTCAATTTCCCGAATTCGTTTTAGTAGCATTGTGTGAGAGAATCTCGTTCCGCGTATCGCATATAGATACTGAAATTCCTATTGAAAAATTTATTCGGACCGACCTCGATACAAGTAGATGGTATTGGCTTCCTGAGCCCAAAATATTCCATACTTCCGCACTTCAAGGCATTCTCAATTATATCTAAGCCTGTCTGATGAGGTTGATTAAAGCGAAAATTACATTCTAAGCATTTTTAGCAGATTATATTTATCCCAAAATTCCATATTTTAAGTTTAAAAAAAAAATCAATTCAAATAACAATCAAATACAAGAGTCCAACTCTTTCTGTGGATAAAGCGAACTTAAGTTTTCCAGCTAGCCACTTTTCCTTCCTCTTTAATACGGGAAGCACACATAAGAAGATGAGTGATAAAGATGAGATTGAAATGTTAAAAGATGATTGATTAATCGACAAGAAGAACCCTTTGTGCTTGGTTGAGACACAAATCTGTAATATAAAGCATAAAAATATAATAAGTTAATAACTCTAACAACGTTTTAGTAATTTATTTGTTTACTATTTTGCATTAGATTAGTAATAATGATTTGTTTCAGTTGCTTAACATATTAAACTATTAAAGTACAGTTTAATAAAGGTTTAAGATTTAAAAAAAAAGTGAATGTGTCTTCGACTGCATTTAGTAATGAACTCTATGCTTCGCAGCTTAACTTTGTGGAGGTCTCCAATGTGTCCTTTGTCTCGGGGCTCGGCATGAAGGGAAAGGAAGGCGCCATACTTAAGCGGACGGGCTCCACACGGCCCGGGCAGGCGGGCTGCAACTTCTTCGGCTGTTTCCAGCGGAACTGCTGCGTCCGCTGCAACTACTTCTGTTCGGACGTGGTTTGCGGCACTTGGCGCAACCGGTGGTTCTTCGTCAAGGAGACGTGCTTCGGCTATGTGCGACCTACGGACGGCAGCATACGAGCGGTCATCCTGTTCGATCAGGGCTTCGACGTCTCCACGGGCATCTACCAGACGGGCATGCGCAAAGGCCTGCAGGTGCTAACCAACAATCGCCACATTATACTCAAGTGCTGGACGCGGCGTAAGTGCAAGGAGTGGATGCAGTACCTGAAGCATACGGCGCAGACATATTCCCGGGACTTCACGTGCCCCAACCCCCACTTGTCGTATGCGCCAGTGCGGGCCAACACGCAGGCGTCCTGGTATGTTGACGGAGCGCCCTATATGGCGGCTGTGGCGGATGCGCTGGAGGCAGCCACCGAGGAGATTTACATTGCCGATTGGTGGCTGAGTCCCGAAATATACATGAAACGGCCGGCATTGGACGGCGACTATTGGCGGCTGGACAAGATTCTATTGCGCAAGGCAGAGATCGGAGTGCGAATCTTCGTGCTGCTCTACAAAGAAGTCGAGATGGCGCTGGGCATCAACAGTTATTACAGCAAGTCCACCCTGGCCAAGCATGAGAACATCAAGGTAAGAGGTCGATTGGCATTTCGGAGTCTAGAAAATACGCTTATTTATCCCAAGAGATATGCCGAGAAACTAGAAGCACTTTAGTAAGAGATTTACAAAGCAAAGGATAATGAATATTAAATGGAATCAATTTAATTAAATTTTGATTAAATGATGTATAACATATTTCAGCGCTTCAAGTGCTTTCTTCTTGTTCTTAACCACAAAATAGCAGTGCTTGGATTAGCTAGAAAATACAATTTAGGTACTCTTACCAATTTTATTCTCAAAATTTGCAGAACAAATCGTATATCCGCATATCACGATTATAATATTTCTTCAATCGAAACCAATTACTTACTTTGTAAATTAAGATAACGCTATCAATATATGGATGATAATTATTTTAAGACTGGAAAGATTTCTCCAAAATATTAGGGTCCGAATGCGGGACTCTCTGAATTTTGTGATCAGAAAGTTGACTTTCTTTTTACACATTGCTGTGTTAATTTTTTCCATGAAAATCTCTTTTTTCCATCAAACTACTCCTCCTTATCTGTGTACATAGCCTTAGAACAAGTATTCAAAATTAACGATGCGTTTCGTTCTTTATAGTACCATCCCTATAGCACCGTATTGGTTCCGATATCGCAAAAAACAAACAAATTATTTTTTGGGGTCTAGAGAGGGACTGGAGCTGATCTAAAAATATTAAGTACGACTGTCATTTAAATAACAAATTTATTTCGGGGAGCTCAAGCGTATTTCATTGCCCGACTATATAGCTTTTTAAATGCCTTAACCTCATTAACATTCGCCATTTAATATTCTTTAGGTCATGCGGCATCCGGATCATGCGCGAGCCGGAATTTTGCTATGGGCTCATCACGAGAAGATTGTGGTCATTGATCAGACATATGCCTTTATAGGCGGCTTGGATCTGTGCTATGGACGCTGGGATGATCAGCATCATCGACTGACCGATCTGGGAAGCATTTCGACAGCCTCCGCATCTGGGAGTACGCGGCGCGGACAGAGCGGCTATTTCAGCAAGGATGACGTGGACTCGGCCTTTGGATCGCGCAAGTCCTCTCGGAATGCGAACTACGAGATGGCGTCCAAGGAGCCGCCGCAGAAAGAGGATTCGCTTAGTGGGGTGGAGTTGCGAACTTTGAAGCCAGGGGACAAGCTACTGATACCTGAAATGCTCTCGACCGAATCGACCCAGGACAGTGATGCGCTGGAGGGCATGAAGCTCAACACGCCCGAAATGGAGCGCAAAAATATGCTGGATCGGCTCAAGGACAATGCGATGAAGGGCGCCCGTCTCGGCAAGGACTTTGTGCAACGCCTGACCATGAACGAGACGATGCCGGAAGAGAAGCCCGATGACATAGTATACAGCATAGATACAACTACAGAGACTAGGGATATTCCCGATGGACCGGCCAGCAGTAGCTTACTCGCGAAAGTGAGCTCCAACACCAACAGCAACAACACCAACAGCAACAACGCCAGCAGCAACGACAGCAGCACCAACAACAGCAACAGCAGCAGCAACAACAACAGCAACAACACCAACACAACCAGCTGCTCTGCACAGCTGTTCAGTGATTTTTATGGACAGGCCAAGTACTGGTTCGGCAAGGACTACTCCAACTTCATACTGAAAGACTGGATGAACCTCAATGCGCCGTTTGTGGACATCATCGATCGCACGACCACGCCCCGCATGCCCTGGCACGACGTGGGCGTTTGTGTGGTGGGAGCGGCGGCGAGGGATGTGGCCCGCCACTTCATACAGCGCTGGAACGCCATCAAGCTGGAGAAACTGCGCGACAACACACGCTTCCCGTACCTCATGCCCAAGAGCTATCACCAGATACGTCTGCATACACAGCTCCAGCAGCGCCGCCAGCAGCGCGTCACGTGCCAGCTGCTGCGCAGCGTCTCCTCCTGGAGCTGCGGCTTCATCGAGCAGGATCTGGTGGAGCAGAGCATCCATGATGCCTACATCGAGACCATAACAAAGGCCCAGCATTACATCTACATTGAGAACCAGTTCTTCATCACATTGCAGTTGGGCGTGTCCGGTACGCTGGGCGGAAACGTGCGAAACCAAATCGGCGAGACGCTCTTCAAGCGCATAGTCCGGGCCCACAAGTAAGCGATCTACAAACAATTCCTTCAATTCCCATGACTCCATACAATAATACCATTCACAGGGAGCGAAAGAACTTCCGCGTCTATGTGATCATGCCATTACTGCCCGGCTTCGAGGGCGATGTGGGCGGCAGCACAGGGAATGCGGTACGCGCGATCACACATTGGAATTATGCGTCCATTTCGAGGTGAGTTGTCAATAGACTCGATATTTGAATAAGAGGTGTTTGTAGCAATCAGGAGGAAGAATCGTCAGCTTTATAGGTGTATCTACTTGTATGTGTGTGTCTGTAGTTCTTCATTTTGTTACTTCTACTTTTCCTACAGGATGCATTAATGTTAAATTGTAAGAAATACTTTCTGAAGAAAGCTAAGATGTGCGGATATATAGTATTATGAAGTGTATTTAGGACCGCTGTAGACCAAGATAACTTTTAAAATCGTTCTATGATCATATCAATTAAAATTATCAAGCAACTAAGACTAAATTTTCATACTTTAGGATACTGGTGGGAGTAAATCATGGAAGAAGATTAAAAACTTGAATCACAGTTTCATTTTTTTCCTTAAATTCAGCTTCTTCTTTATTTCAAGATAGTGATTGCGGATCAGAAAAGACTCTGTTTATACCCTGTACCAGAAGGGTGCAGAAGGAGACAATGCGAATCGCTGTAGACTTGTTCGTCTGTCCGTCTGTATGAACGCCGATAACTTTTGAACCATAACAGCTAGGTACACGAAACTTGGAATGTACACTTGTCCTATCTACTTATCCAAGTACACCACATATAGCCATTTATATTTTATAGGACGGGTGGGATCGGTGGGCGAATCAAAGAATAACTCGTGTGTTAATGAAGACATTTTAATAAGATTTGACTTGAAAGGAGTCTCATCATATGCCGACCTTTCATCATACATACATATAACCGAATATACCCCGCTTTAAAAAACGTTGATCCTCGCCTGTAGACGCCCGGGACAATTCATGGAATATTTATTTGGTACAGCCTATCTAAGCACATCACGACCGATATCGAATGATGGACTATGTCGCAAAGAGAATCTTCTCTTTTCACCGACAGGGTATTCACGAGAGAGACACTTCTAATCATGCACCTGCTTTACTTTTCCATCCATTTAGCCAGTTCTGCTATTAAACTATGTAGTATTGTTTCACATTTTTGGACAGTGCGACAATTATACACTTTAAATAGAATGGTTATCCATTAATTAGAACAAGTATTGCGTGCAGTATCGGAAATAGGCTTGACTAAAATATACTTAAACCTTGATGCGAATTCGCCGACGCTGCAATATATACATAGTGGGAACGATTATTCAAGAACTTCCCAATTTGTTGTTCTCTTCCTCTTTCCTCAGAGGGCGAACGTCCATTCTGACGCGTCTACAGGAGGCGGGAATTACGCAGCCGCAGAAATACATTTCATTCCACAGTCTACGCAATCATTCCTATTTGAACAACACGCCGATTACGGAGCTCATCTATGTGCATTCCAAGCTGCTCATTGCCGACGATCGAGTGGTTATATGCGGCTCAGCCAATATAAACGATCGGTCGATGATCGGGAAGCGCGACTCGGAAATAGCGGCCATATTTATAGATGAGGAGTACGAGAATGGACGCATGAATGGCAAGGATTATCCAAGTGGCATATTTGCAGGACGCTTGCGCAAATTTCTGTTCAGGGAGCACCTGGGTAAGGCTCCTCCAGAGAATGTCCCATAAAGAGGTGGACTCACTAATGCGCTTGCTTGCTTGTAGGGTTGCTCGAGTCGGATGGATCGGCGCGAACTGATTTGGATATAACCGATCCCGTGTGCGATCAATTTTGGCATGACACCTGGCGTCGGATTTCCACGCGCAACACAGAAATCTACGACGAGGTGTTCAAATGTATACCCACAGATTTCGTAAAAACGTTTGCTAGCCTGCGCAAGTACCAGGAGGAGCCACCGCTAGCGAAATCGGATCCTGAGTTGGCAGCCAAGCGGGTGATCGAAATTCAGGTGCATTGGAGGTGTTTTCAGATGGTATCAGCATATGATAGTTATTTCTATATTGTCCATTCAACAGGGCTACCTCGTCAACTTACCCCTGGAGTTTCTAAACAAGGAGACGCTCACGCCACCCGGGACCAGTAAAGAAGGCCTCATACCTACCTCTGTGTGGACATAGTCTGCTATTTTCAAAACTAATAGGTTTAATAGAGCTCCCACCAAAAGCGCTCTGTGTTCAAATTCTCGACTCTGAGTCAAGGAGAACGGTACAGGAACATGCGCCCCCGACTAGTTTCCAAGTCATGAATTGTACATAGAAACATACACGTACATACATAAGTATATAAGCTGAAAATGTGTTGCCTTACTTTTAGTTAATTTATTTTTATGGTATGTCAATGTCCCTATTAGCATTAGAATCATTGTTGTTTCCTGTAATGTTTAAATCAGTATTTTAGACGAATTGAAGAGCAATTTTTTACAAGCAAATAAACTGATCGAAAGTTCGAGAAAAGACATTCTGAGTGCGCCTGCAAATTTGTATCTACGATTTGGGAATTCCCCGACTGACCACAACCGATACATGGATTTGGGAACAAAATGTGTAAGCGAGTTGAATGGGAACAGTTTGAATGCATAAGCTGTGTGCCACAATACACAAGTTCGTGCTCGCACTTGAAAGCTCGTTGCTACGGAATTGCTCGAACTGATCCCACGTGGTTTGAAACTCCACTGAACCATTTAAGTGGAAGGCCGACCGAATTAAGGGCTACAAATGTAGGAAAGGAAATGGATTCCATATTCATATGTATGTACACCTAATTCTGTTTTTGCACGGTAGATTGGTCCCAGAAAAAGTCGTGCTAAAAATAACCGTGTAAAAAAAGACATTGATCATATACAAAATGAATTGTGCTAAATGGAATAAAGCCGTGTAACCATATACACCTAATTCTGTTTTTGCACGGTAGATTGGTTCCAGAAACAACCATGTAAAAGAAGATATCGATCATTTGCAGAAATTGGTGATTGGCTCCTTATCTATAAAGAAATATATATGCAATTTTTAATTTTCAGACCGTGCTACATCAAAACCGTGTAAAAACAGAACATTTTTAATTTTCACACCTTGTTAATTCAAAACCGTGTAAAAACAGAATTAGTTATAATTATTTTTTATTTATAGTCTTTACAAATTTCCATCCATTGAAACGTGATTTGCAGAAGTGGGAGTCTTTCCGATTGCCTTTTGAGATTCCATGAAAACTCAACAGCTTTCCAAATTTTTTTTTTTTGTTTTTGAACTACATATATATATTTCTACTTAATAAAAATCACAAATACAAAACGCAAAGAAAAACATCGCCCTACATACTGCAATCGCAGCACAAAGAAGAAAACGAAATATGTATGTATTTCAGTGCAAGGAAACCGCCTCATTATCAGCCCACATAAAATTAATTTCGAAATATGCCCTTGGCTCGTGTTTTCTGGCCATCGTTTTATTTCTTAAGCAGTTGTGAACAGCTGGTGGATAAAATCAATATCACATCTTAAACAGCAATCAGGAATACTCTTATTGTTGTAAATGAACGTGTTCTTGCCAGACTAAGTTTATATGGATAGTTCTTGGTCGGAGATTTTGAATCCTCTATGCTTCAGGTCGTATTTATTTTTCTGTTCCTTCCACTTTCTGTCTCTTCTACTTAACAAATGCACAAGTGATTACGCCATGCACAATATTTTTTAGAGTATTATGCTCTAATTATAGTACTTTTTACTTTTTAATTTTAAGTGAGTTCTCTCTCTCCTCACTAAAATCTTATATTTTCAGGTACCGCCGGCAGAATCACTGATCACCACTGCTGTGAGCATAGCTTGTCGGACTGTCTTATAAACCTTCCTCAGTGATTCAGTGATTCTCCGCCTTTAACTAACTTAACTTTTAATTATGTATTATTTTTTAAGTATTTCAAGTTTAATTTGTTATTTAATTTAATCGTTCTTCTATTTTATCTTTTATTGCTATTTTTTCTTCTTGTCGACAGCTCTGTTGGTCGATAAAATAAAATAAAAATATTTGCTCTACCCGAAAGGTAAACGGGTTTTATTAAATCGTTCAGTGTTTGTAACACCCAGCAGCAGGCGTGGGAATCTGAACAAACAACAAATATACCTAATTTTTACAGCATGACATGGTAATTAGAGACTTCTCCGTCTATAGAAAGGCAAGAGAAAGAATATTAATACGTATGTTTTTTAATCCTCCGTAGTTCTGTAATAGTATTCTTCTACACCCCATTAATTAGCCAACTTGTATGTTAGTTTTTGAGGAAGTTATCAGCGAAAAGGTAAGCTTACTTCATTGACTTGTCCCGATTTGATTTCAGACGAGCTCGGGCACTGCACATTCGGACACAAAATTAATATTTACACTCATTTGATGTGATCTGATTTTTATAAAGGTGGCAACACTCAAAAAGATTATGGCTTATAGAAAATCTGATTTAAATTTGAATTCTCAAAATAAATGCGCAACTAGAAATGAATTCTGATCGCCTTGTCAATTTTAGGGTCATCATACAAGTAAGTGACCAACTTTTTTTGTTATTTGAAAAACGACCAAGAAGATTACGATCGTGTGATCTGACGCCGCTGGAAATCATTGTTCGGTACATAGATTTTACGTTGAAAGCAAACGCGGCATTAAACGGCCTTGATTTATTGGAAAAGCTGTGGAGAGTTGAACTTTAAGGATTGAGCTGATTTCTTACCATTACCTACTCTGGAAAGAATGTCCACGGAAGTCTTGGGAACGTCAAAAGCTCTAAGGTTTTGTATTGCGATTGTTCTGGTATTTGTAGAACCTAGAACACTAGAACTACTGGACAGACTGCATGGTCACGAGAAAAATCGATATAGACATACAAAGTATCTGTTTTTCATTTTTGGTGGGAGGTACAGGGTATTTAAGAGTTGAGCTTGCTCGACCTTAGCATTATTTTCTTGTTTGTATTCTTTTCGAGAGTATACAAACTAATCGGATGAACATTTTTTTCATACAAACATTGGAGTCCGTTTTCCCCCCTTTGGAGTTCGAATTTTCCAAAACCGCTAGTGCTCACTTTCACCGTGAAAGGAAACTTGTGTCCAAATTTGAAATTTCCTAGCTCTTACCGTTAGGGCTGTGCGTCGATTGCCAACCAGTCAGTCAAACTGTTTTATATACTTACATATATAGAGATTATACACTTAATTAGCTTTATTTTGGTAATTATTATACCCTGTACCCGTAGGGTAAAAAGGGTATATTAGGTTTGTGCAAAGTATGTAACATACAGAAGGAAGCATCTCCGACCCCATAAAGTATATATATTCTTGATCAGCATGACGAGAGAAATCGATCTAGACATGTCCGTCCGTCTGTCCGTCCGTCTGGATGAACGCGAGGATCTCAGAAACTATAAATGCTAGAATAACCAAAGTTGGCATCCAGATTCTCCTAGGTCCGAGTAAGGACGAGTTTATTTATTTTTTTTTAATTTCCCCCCCCCTTCCCCCGCTGCAGAATTTCGTCAATAGCGTCCACATTTCAAATGCTACCTAAACCAAACTTTGCACACATAATTTATAAATAATTGTCTACTGTTGTATAAAATGTTATTCAATTCGGTCAATGCTAAGAAAAGTTATTAGCAAAACAAATTCTCGCCAGTACAACCCCCACAAACTGCAGCAACAAGTTCGCTCTTCTTCTTCCTCTTTTTGCTGCGGCTATGGGCGCATATAACTCAGTGACGGAAGTTTACCTAGGTACAGGGTATTACACTGTCGGGCTTGCTAGACTGTAGCGTTCTCTCTTGTTATTTATATAACTTATTACCTAATGTTAATGCAATAAAAACTATGCACAATTATTCTTCACGAAAAAAAGGATGCGTGCTAACTGAAGACAAATCAAATAAAGCTTCCACCATGCTTTCCGTGCTACGTAAAGATAATTAACGGTAACTAAAGCTTTCTAAGCTTGCTGACAGTTAATATCCTGGTTTCTATTTCTATTATATTCAACAAAATATAAATTCAGAAATGGTTGGTCGTTCTTCACTGGGTTTCTGATAAGTGTACATATGTAAGTTTTCACAAATCTAGCATATGTATGTACATATGTATGTACATATATATTTAAGTATAAATGTATACCGTTCGAATGCAGTATATAAAAGAAGAAATATCGTGGCTGGTCCCAGTTCCGTAAATTGTTCAGATTTATAAAATTATGATAGGATATATTTTTTATTGTTGTTGAAATTTAAATAATTAATGATCACTTCAGGCTAGGTTAATTTTTTACTTTGCCGGCGTTCTAAACGCATCTGTATATGTACATAGTAAGTATGTATGTACATACATATGTATGTACATATGTATATGTAGATATGAACATAATGCCAAAGTTAAAAGCTAATTAGTTTAACCAACTGCTTAGTCATTAAAAATATGTATGTATGTACACATTACGTATGCCTGTTCATTTGTATGTATGTATGTATTTATTTATGTATGTACAATGCACGCAGCACACAGCACACATGTGGGTCTCTTTCGACTAGTTTGCACACACTGCGAAGCAAAGGCAACATTAAAAATGTCTCGTAGTTCACGAAGCTAGAAACAACAGCAACAACAACACTTGCAAAATGATGCAAAGACAGCCGACATGCAATCGTCGGCTTCAGTGCGTTTTCTTTTCTCGTATGGTGCAGTCGTGTGGCTCCGCGTGCTTTTTGTCGGTTCTTTAGTGTGTGCTGTTTTCGTATTGAAAACATGTATGAAAAGAAATGAAAATAATAAACAACAGTGTAACTAAATTGTGTAAAGTGGCTGCCGCTTTCGCGAAACGATTGTGCATTGATTAGCGCATGATCATATGTGTAGTTGGTAGTTTGTGTAAATACGCAGATACTACATACATAAGTGCAAAGAATATGTATGTATGTTCATATATGTATGTATGTACATATATAATCTAATAGCGAACAAATTGCCAATCTTTAAATAACTCTGCTGTTAACCATATATTTGTATACACATACATATGTATGTATATGTTCATGCACACATACGGCCACAAACAAAATTCATTTGTTTGTCATCTCAACGCCGCGCTTTATTCTGGCATTTTTGTTGCATTTATTTTGTTTGGCGTTTATTTCATACAATTTTTATTCTTTATGCTCTGCTCCGCGGACAACACAGAGGAAATACACAATGAAAAAGCCAAAGCGTGGAGATTGCAGCATAAAATACGCGCAAAGTCAATAGCAACAGCAACAACAACAGTAACAATAACAAAACACAGTAACAAAGCAAAGCCAGAAAACAAGTTCTGCTAGCTGCCAACGAACGCCACATACATATACATACATACATTCGTATACACATTCGTGTATATGCACGTATTTATACATGAGTGTACATACATATGTATTTATGTATGAATGTATATGCAAGCTTCACTGCACGGCCCGCGCTTTCGCGCTCACTCAAATATACATACATATAGTGCTCTCTTGAGCTCCAATAAGAACAGTTGCATCACAAAAACCAACTGGAAACACACAGCCATTCGCATCCGCACTCGCAAGCGCACACTTGGCCGTATAACGTAATAAAAGCACGTGTTGGCTTTGATTTTTTATCGCGTATTTTTTGTTTGGTTGTGTGTTTGCCAGGCAGCCCCAACTGGTTGTTGTTTTTATTTTGCTTTGCACATTTTGTATTCATGACGTGATTTTGTGAGTCTGCATTTGTGTGTGTGTGTGTGTGATAACAGCGTGCTCGTTTATTTGCGTGCGCTCTCTTTGCTGCGTTTTGTTATTGTTTGGTTTGGTTTTTGATTTTGCATTGACTTTGCTAACTTATTTAAACGAATTTTTGTTTGGTTAGGAAGCAACGCGTTTCCCTTGGTGCATTTTACGAGCTTGTTGCTACTGTTGTTGACCTATAATGTCTTTTAGACCATTCATACAAATAATACATAGAACAAGAATATAAATTCATTTGTACAAAAATACATGCATAATGATAATGCCGGTTGAACAGTCATACCATGTATACACACTTATGTGCATATGTATGTACATATGATATACATACATACATATACTGATCCACATATGTATGTATATCTATGTATGTATGTTTGTTCGTTTGTTTCTCGTATATGTACACGTACAAGTTGGATAGTTTTACCCACGCATAGTTTGGATCGTTTTTTTTTACATGACGATAATTTGTTCATTTGTGTATGCACGAGTATGAATGTATATGTATGTATATGAGTGAATTTCCAAGGAGTGGCGGTCATTTCCAGTATATACATACATACATGTATGTGTGTACATTTGTAACTTTGCCAAAACCATTTTAAGAGTTCTTTAAACTCAATTTAGAGTCGATACGTGTGTGTGTATTATTTTTTGTTTATCGACATTATTTGCTCATAGTTCTTGTAGATATTAGGTTCTCAATTGATTATTCTTGCAGTTGACACCAACCTTTGGTTAGCTGGTGTGTGACACCCACAACAAAATATGCATCAATACGTAGGAAACTGCAACTAAATATCGAATGCCTTTTGTGGCGCAACAAGCGAACGCATTGCCACTTCTGCTACTATTTATCTATTTACTACTTCTCCCACTTCTATACGTACTACCTCTCCCCTCCACATCGCTCTTCCGCTGTCCCGCTTTCCCAAACAGACAAAAGAGCAAGCCAAACCTGCTGTCGTTGCACAGAAATCAAAAGTGAACATCGCGTCGCTTGCACGTCTGCCCCCACGACGCGCCCCCTTTTTCCCCATCGAGCCGCAACAATTGGCGCTCGGACCCAAACGAAGCCAACGGCCGGGTCGTTGCTCGTCGGAGTCGCCGTCGTCGGCGTTGTCGTTGTCGTCGGCATTGTCGTCGTTGTCGTCGTTGACTCGTTCGTTCTTGTTGGCACGTTCGTATCTTGATTTCTGCTCAGTTCTAGTTGGCCAAAACCGTTCGTGAGTTCGCTTCGCTTTGCATTTGCGTTGACTTTGTTTTGCTCGTGTGCCCCACACCACCAGCGCCACTCAGTTAGTTAGTCAGTTAGTCGCTTATAGAGCCTCCAACGAAAGGCAGGCATGTAGGCAGGCAGAGCAGTCGGAGCAGTCGCAGTGCAGTTTTCGCAAAAGTTGATCACATTTCGCTTACTCGTCCTATTTTATAATTAATTTGCATGCAATTTACGGCAATTACACATAAAAATGGTGTTATTAATAGCGCACAGCGCTTAAAAATATCAGTGTGCCTTTCGAGTGGAGTGTGCGGGCTCCCCACTCTTAAGATAACGGCTTAACAGTCTGATTGTAAGTGCGTGTGCTTGTGCTTGTGTTTGTGCGTGTACATGTATTTGTGTCTGTGTTTGTGCTTGTGCGTGTAATGATATGCATTTGATTAGATTTGCTGGCGCTGCCTTTGTTATTAAACAAATGCTTGGTCTGTGCCCATAATTTCTGCATAATTTGATAAATAAAAGACAACAACAACAAGAACAACAACAACGACAATAGATATAGCATAAACAACAGCAACAACTATACGAAGTGGCCGCCGCAGCAGCTGCGGCCCCAACAAGAACCGGTTAACGAAATTACTCGCTTGCTATTTTTTGCAAACTTGCAAAAGTTTTTGAGTTTTATTTCTTATTTTTCCTTTTTGGTGCATGTGTGTGTGTGTGTGTGTGGAGTGCAATCCGCAAGACCAACAAAAGTTGGGCGCACGGGCCGGAAATGTACAATAATTAGCTGGCATTCAAAAGCATGCAGAATACTGCGAGTTTATAACCATAAATCACACACACTAAACAAATCAATGCAACCGATGGTATTTCTGACATCTATTCAATACCTACTGTGTGTGTGATCGAGTGGCCATCAAAAAGTGTGCCACAAAAATGCTTAAAACTGCACAGAAAGCATTCGTAAATCTGCTGAAAAATATTCATTGTGTAATCTGAGACCCGAAAAGGGGAAATCGAATATGCGTGCGTTAGCAAGTTCATGGTAATTGTTCATGCAAAATTTTAATTTATGGCATTTATTAAGGAACCGACCAGAAAATGCAAACGTCATTTCAAACTCTTTCATTACCTCTACCACAACTATAATCCGCTTGATTGCGTGTTGAGTTACCTGCACACTAACTGCAAATTCGGCCATATCTATGAGAAAGAGTTGATTCGAACACCCTAATAGATCTATTTACTCAACATTTCCTTGCGAATCAGCCTATCAGCATTTGCATTTCCGGAACAGGATCTAAATATTAGGAAATTGCATAAACTTGAATTTAACTGTTAATAAGTCAATGATAATTAGCTCTAAATTAAAACCAAAAGAAAAACTGAATTTTTATGAAAACGAAAAAAACTTGTTTTTATTAATAAACATATCTTACATACGAGTACATAGATACATCGGACCATGATTCCAACATATTGTATCGGTTATGATTGTCTTTTGATTTGGAAATTACCTTATTCGTACTAATTTAAATGAATTTCTGTAGTATATGCTGTCGTTCTTAGAAAAGTCACTACCCTTTCCTTGTGCTCTCTATGAACTAACATTGTTGTATATCGATTCGAAAGCAGTTGGATTAAAAGCACGGCAACTGATTCTTACCTTATTCTTACAACGAAATTGTTGCTCTCTTGTGTGGGCACGCCTTTGGATATGTTAATCAAGTGCAACTTTCTACATCCACCAGGGACTTTGCAACGAAACATAAAACCAAACAATGTGAAGCCAGTAGAATAAACAACTAAATAATGGCAGTACTTGACATAAAAATGTTACAAACTACAACCACTTAACAAAAGCAAAAGCAACAGCAACAGCTCCAACAACAACTACATCAGCTTAACAAAATAGCCCAAACAAAATGTGCGGTAAACACTTCAAGCCGAAAGCGTCAAGCAACAACAATAAATATAAATACTACAGTAAAAGCATCAAAGAAATGGCAACAACAAAACGCAATTAAAACCAATACAAAAAGTAAAACTGCGAAACACAATAATAACAACAACGATAACAATAGGAAAACAATAACAATAACAAGAAATAGTGAAATAGTTGCAAACATATAAACAAAGAAAATGTCAGCAACAGAGTCGAAGGATACAACACTAAAGACTTTAGATACAACAGCAATATCAGCAGTAGCATCAACAACTACAACAGCAACAGCGACAGCGACAAGCGATGTCGATGCAGTTGTTGTTGTCGCAGCCACAGCCACAGACACTGCAACAGCAACAGCGAAAACTTTAACCTCCAGCAAGGCTTTGTCATTGTTTGATCAGCTGAAAAACAGTGTCAACTTGAATAGTTTGACAGTCGGCGCCGGCACAGAAGCGTCAGCAACAAAGTCAGCTCCTCCGGCATCATCATCATCATTATCATCATCCACAACAGTATCAGTAGCAGTAGCAGTACCTGCCCCACACTCGCCCCTGCCAGCAACAGCGGCTTTGTCATCAACAAATATTGACTTGAAGCCACCGCCTAAGCCCAAGCCTTTCAGCACTCCCACCTTGATGCCGCCCACCGGGGTCGGTAGCATTGGCATCGTGCAGGGCACCAAGCGTGGAGCAACGACTGCGTCTGCTTTAAATGCTTATGCCACAGCTGCCAAATTGGATATCAGTGCCTTACGATCTCAGCTATATCAGGGCGCCAGAAAGACTGCAACGAACGGAACAAAAGCGGCAGCAGTGACGACTGCAGCGGAACGACAGCGGGCCACAAAGAAGCGTTGTCTTGATCGTTACGATTCGTCAGAGTCATCAGACAGGTGAGTTTGTCCATTCTAATTGCCTGAATAGTTTGTAAATGCCTCAAATTATTAGTTCACAATAGAGCGGATCTGGCGAAAAGAATAATTATTTTCTGAAACTAAGTCTGTTAATAAAATACTAATAATTAGTATTAGTATGGCTTCCTATAAATACATCGCTGTTCTGATCTACACATGTATTTCAAAAGAAATATCTTTAGTTAGCCCATTTCATATGCATATCCCTAATTGAAAAGTGTATAGTGTTTTTGGTGTGTAAGTAAATGGTTGTAGTTGTTATATATAAATGCCATTTAGCAAAAGTTTTTAGCTAGCGAGATCAACTTTGGTTCCATATCTTCTAGCTGTCAACCGAACTACTTACATGCCAAACAAAGATTTGTATATAGAACCAACGATATTGCATCCACATTAAATATTTAGAAGGAAGTGTTCATACCTGATGTATTTTCTTGCCTATGATGAGTTGAAATATTACTTGAATAAAATCCACAATCAAAGGGCATAAACAGTGGTTTAGGCCATTCCCAATATCTATTTGGAAGCTTTTCAGAAATTTTAATCATTTAATTGCAATCCGATATGCAAACAGGGTTGAGATCTGTTTGGGTTAAGAGGCAACAAACAAACGTTTGTAAATCGTGTCTAAATACTTGTTTTACAGCCGGAATATTTCAATTTGCGCTTAGAATGTTTGCTTCGCTTAACATTTTAAACAACTGTAAAAGTACCAGATTAAGATAAAAGTACTTGGCCCCAAAATCAAAAGTTAATTATTCAATTTCAATCAATTTCGTTATACTCTTGGGTACACATATATTTCTGATAAAAGTTTATAGCCTGCGTTCCTTCAAGAAATGTTTTATAAAGATAATTAATAACAGGATCTCTGGCGAATGGATATGAACAAAGAAAAACGCTGTCACTGAAATATATTTGTGAGTGCCTTGTGGGTCGCACTCCAGTATTTGTTTTGTCATCTTTTTAACTCCATGAATCTCGTGTTTTTTGCAAATTTACTTTTTAATGATCCACAGTTGAATGAGAAAATCATTTTAAAGATACTTTGCCAAAGCCGAGCTAAATAATTGAAAAATTCAAACTACATTCAAAAAGAAGATACACACTCGTTATCATCAATGAGCAAGACACTTCCAGCGAACACGGCAGCGCAAACACAGGCACGCGAACACTTAATTCTATCATCAGCTCTTAATTTATGACTTGAAGATACATTTGTATCTACAGTTCTACAGCTATGGCAACAGCTAGTAGCAAATACAAAAACATCTTGCCGTAATGCCAACTAATTTCCGCTCATTAAAAATGCACAGCAGAGGCGAATGAAAACAAAGCAAATGCGCATACATATGTACATATGTATGTACGTATGTATATATGCAGGCGTATGTATCTTTAAGATACACACGCACAACATGCGTTAATTTATCAGCCGCAAATAGTCGTTGATGAAACGCGGACAGAGACTGCGACTGCGACGCTGACAGCGACTGCATGATTTAGCAGTTGTAAATTTATGGCGCGTGGGCGAGACAAGCTTCCTGGCTACAGTCCATCCTTACGTTCGTGCATATCCAACAAATCATTCATACATACATACATACATACATATGTATGTATGTACCTATACATATAGATAGATATGTTAAGGCAGATTCATCTTCAAAGTTAGATGTACTCGCTTGCTGGCAGCCGCCTTAAGGGCTCTTATTTGTTTTGACTATTCGAGAAAATAAAACAAACACATTTTCTGGATTTTTTTTTCCAGCCCTTGCATTTTAATTAATTTTTGTTGTTGCATGCAAATCATGCATAAATTTACGGGCATCGCCAGCCAGCGATGGGGAGATGGAGATGCATTTCCAAGAGATAAGTGAACGCAACTGCGAGCGTTCTTCACGCAACACGCTCTTATACTCACGCAAACACACACACACACACACACACACACACACATACGCACGCACATACTCATCAGAAATTCAAAAAATTGCTTTCGTATCTGCCGCGCGTTTCTCACCGCGAGTGAGTCTGTCTCCTCTCTTGTTGGGCCTGAACAAATCTCTTTTTTCGCGGTGCTCGGCTACATTCGGCAATGCTCGCTAATGGCCAATCGGCTCAAGTCGTAAATTATTCAACTTTTGGTCGTTGAACTCTTTTTGATTTTGATTTGGGATGATGTTTTTGTTTTTGTTGTTGTTGATGTTGTCAGTGTCACAAAAACTCGGAAAAAAAAACGAAAGAAAACTACATTTTTGTGCTCTTACTTTCCGTATTCTCGCACGTATGTATGTATGTGTGTATGTATGTATGTGTGCCGATTTATGTGTTTGTTCTGCATTTTGATTTTTGCATAACTTTGCAGGCTTCTTCAGCGTGTGTTGTGTGTGAAGTTGTCAATTAAAAAGTATTTACATATAATTGGTATTTATGGATGCAACAATGTTAGCCGAGGACTGATTAGAATTTGTATACTTACGTGTAAATGCCACCCAATCGGACCAAATAGAAGACAAGAGAAGCAATGATGACAAGAGTTCGGAAAGAATTGCTAGTTTTGCTTCGTCTTCTGACCCCATTTTACGATTTAACCTTCGCCATTCAATTTGCAAGAACTGACAGTCATTAAAATGTAGTTTCTGTAGTTGTTATTGTTGTTGTTGTTTTTGTCCACATGTACTAACATAAAATAAATTAACTTATAACTTTTACGCTTCATTCTGTGCGACTATACTCTGTGTGCTTATGCACATACATATGTATGTACGTGTATGTATGTACGTAGGTATACATACATATATGTATAAATAATTGTATGCATGTATCTGTGTGTGTGCCATAACGTACGAAGCATTTAACTTTAATTATGGCTCATAAAGAGCCAAAGCCAAAACGGCGATCATTAAAGTACAAAAGCAACAATAAAACATTCTCACACAAAAATACGCTTGCAGTTAATGTTAATTTGTATTTCAGTAGTTGTTGTTCTTGTTGCTTGGGGCTTGCCGATTTGTTGTCATCATTTTGTTTATTTTCATACCAACACATACACACACCTACATACATACAACACAGATGCTAAAACATGTACATATGTATGTATGTATGTATTTATGTTTGTATGAATAGATATGCACGTTCAGTATTGATTTTTACCACATTGCACAGTGGCACCAAAGGGAAATCTAACGGAGTCTTACTAATAATTTCACAGAAGAATAATAGTATTATAGTATATAGTAATGTTAAATTTAACTTAATACATTAAAGTGAACTAAATCATTAAATTTCCTTCTCATGTAGAATTGTTTCTTTATCCAACTCTTGCCCTTATTTATCAACATATCTTTTCTTTAGGTGTTTCTTTCAATTTCTTAGATTTTCGATTAGATTTTTTCTTAACCATAGCATCTCTCATCAATAATATTGGTTAATATGTGTGTCCCTATAGCTAAACACTTTCTGCAGGACATTTAAGTTTTTCCGCTGATAAGCAGAGATCAGGGACATAGTCTTATACATATGTATATAGTCATATATAAATGATGGATTAATTCTGTTGAAAGAACTTACAATGCATATATTCTTTTGACCAAAAAGACAAAATCCTGAAATTAAAGTAGTTAGGTATCCATTTGTTTTTGTAGTTGGAGGCAGGTCTATGCTTCTTCCTTTCTAATTTGATCAGCTTCTGCAGAATTTCAGAATAAAAATGATTGCAAACGAAAACGAAATTGAAATTGTAAGATCAAAGTAATTTAAGGTATAAAAATCACTTGAGCAGTAATTAACATTTTCGATTTTAAATTCAGTGCAGTTACCACAACCATTGCGTCCACTGTGCACCATACAGGTTTTTGCTAGTTTTTTATTTTTATTTTTGAGCCAAGTCTCAAGACCCACTGCTCCAATGTCTGCAAGAAACGCGGTCGCCACCAAGTTGCAATGTTTTTCTTTTTTCTCTCTCTCTCTCTCTCTCTTTCTGCCTTGTTAATGTTGTAGTTGTAGTTGCAGTTGTTTTTTGCAAAGTCATGCATGCAGCAAACGATGCTGTTGCTGCCTCAATTGCGATATTGTGTAATCGCCCACGTTGATTTATCTCGTTTAAGTGACTCCAAACAGCAGCAGCAGCAACAACAACAACATCAGCAGCAGCAACAAACAGCAGATCCAGCAGCTGACGAGATGTCGTTGCATTTGTTCCTCGTTGCCGCTGTCGCTGCCATCGTTGATGACGTTGAAAGTGTAATGTAATAACTCGCAATTGGTTGTCGTTGCTGCTGCAGTTGCTGCTGCAGTTGCTGCTGCTGTTGCTGCTGCTGTTGCTGCTGCTGTTACTCATAGAGACTGCTGTTGGCTCTTTTTGGTCCCTAGTGTTATCTATAGATGTGTGTGACGGCATTTTTATTCGCACTTGTTGTCGCTGGAATTGCCTTCGTATGGTAGCTCAGTCTGCAAAATTGGGTTTGCTCTAAAGTTATGGCAAATACATCAACACTATTACATTTGTTAGCACTCTGAGTCCAAACTCAAGGAATTCTGCCTGATGTTGGGCTTAGATACTGCCCTAACAGTAAAACCGCCCTGTCGATTAGATAAGCTTGTGAAAAGTTAATTTAACTGCTCTTCAGATAATCATTCACAAATGATGCTTATAAGCCATCATTGTGGTGCTTTTAAGGTTTGAAATTTATATTCAATAAATTTGAACTGTTTTTTTTTTTTTAAATTTTTATTCATTCATTAATTCATTTGAAGTAAATTTTCCGTTGGTTTTGTGGTATATGTATACATTGAAACAAAATGTTGATGAAATAATGCACGGTGCGATTGAAAAAATAATTTACGCAGATGATCAACAGAAAAACTTCAACAAATTCAACTCAGTTCCATTTTGAGGCGATATAGTGCGCCATAATAATGAATGTGTGGTCGATTTCAGATTGCAAACCTTTTTTCTGAAGATTTAGGGGGCA